ATGTTCTTTTTAGCAGCATCATATGACCCCTTTAAAAGAAATAAATACTTTTATTTAAAAAAAAGATGTATCAGATTGATCAAAAATGACAGTTAAGAAATGCTGTTCTTTTGAACTTTCTGTTTATCAAAGAATCCTGAAAATATATCAGTTGCCACAAAAATATTAAGCAGCACAACTCTTTTCAACACTGAACGATCAGCGTATTAGAATGATTTTTGATGGATCAAGTGACATTGAAGACCGAAGTAATGGCTGCTGAAAATTAAGCTTTGCCATCACAGGAATAAATGACATTTTAAAATATATGAAAATAGAAAATGTTATTATTTTTTATATATTGTAATTTTAAATTGTAAAAATATTTCACAGTATTGCTGCTATTTTTAAATAAATGCAGCTTCTTTCAAATTTTTTTTTACAATTTTTCTGACCTCAAGCTTCTGAATGGTAACATATTAAATGAAATGCAAGCACCTGTTTTCCCTCTTGTTTCAGGTGGACCAGTCTGTTTTAGAGGCTTTACCTGTAGACATAAGGAAACAGGTGGAGCAGTCCTGGAGACACAGAGAGGAGCAGCCCAGCACCTCATCTCATCTCTCAACCCCACCTCGAACCTCCTCATCTCCACCTCCAGGTCCATCGCTTGGCACCCTTGTACTGCAGCTCCCAGACCAGCCAGGTCAACCATGCACAACGGGCATTATACTAGAGCTCCCTGATTTCTCCCAGGTACATGCTGTTAACATTGCAACCACAGGGGGGAAACATGGTGAAATGGTGTTACGTTGACCATCAGAAACTAGTATTTTAGATATCCTCCTAACACACCTGAACTTTTAACAGGTTGACCCAGAAGTGTTTGCAGCTCTTCCCAGAGAGCTTCAGGAAGAGCTGTGCTCTGCTTATAGAAACAAGGGAAATGCTCAAGCCCATGCTCAAGCTCAAGGCAGTGCTGGTGAGTAAAAATGAATAGGGGTGCGCAAGATATCTGGACTATATATACTATATATATATATATATATATTCTTCCCAGATTCAGGAAGAGCTGTGCTCTGCTTATAGAAACAAGGGAAATGCTCAAGCCCATGCTCAAGCTCAAGGCAGTGCTGGTGAGTAAAAATGAATAGGGGTGCGCAAGATATCTGGACTATATATACTATATATATATATATATATATATATATATA